GTCGTACGTTGGTTCTTTGCGCCCACAAATTTATACATAGCGGAGTGTGGAAGATGAAGCAGCCGGCGGCGGACGGTGAGCAAGGAGTGCAGATGACGGTGTCGAAGCAAGAAGCGAAAGCACATGCTCGCCGTGCCCATTCCGCGCCGGAGGGGTCGAGCAGGGTCAAATACCGGCGCGCTCGCCGTCGTTGTCGACATCGACCACCCTTCTGACGACGCCACGACCACGCGGTCCGCAACCGTCGTCGTCTTCTTCTCACCACGCCCTGCGCCGCACTCGAGGCACCAACGGAATCACCGCCCTTGCTCTCCTGCTTCATAAAGCCCCACATGTCCTTCGCACTCCGTCTCCGTCGCCCTCTCACGTCCTCCGCCGCCGCTCTTCTCCGTAAACAACGCGCTCTCAAACAGTCTGTACCCCTCAGTGTTCGCCTTATGTCCACCGAGAAGCAATACGAGTTCATTCTCACCTCTCGCCCCGAAGAGGGCGTTGCTCTCATCACCCTCAACCGCCCGAAGGCGCTCAATGCGCTCTCCACGCCCCTGTTCAACGAGCTTAACGATGCTGTAAAGACCTTTGACGACGACGACAGTGTGCGCGCTGTCGTGCTGACCGGCAGCGAGCGTGCATTCGCTGGTACGTGTATGCTCAACTGAGAGACCAGGGGAGTGCCAACTGAGTGTGGGGTAGCTGGTGCGGACATCAAGGAAATGAAAGACAAGCAGTGTGAGCACGTCTTGTCATCTATCAACCTTCCGTACTCATTTCAACCCAGTCTCCGACGTGTTCAAGGGCAAGTTCCTTGAGAGCTGGGGCCTACTCAGCAACGCCCGGAAGCCCATCATCGCCGCTGTGAGCGGGTACGCGGTATGCAAACAGTCTACATCCTTCATGTATATACACGCTGACCCCACCGCCAGCTTGGCGGCGGATGTGAGCTCGCACTCATGTGCGACATCATCCTCGCATCCCCCACCGCCGTCTTCGGCCAGCCCGAGATCAGCATCGGCGTCATCCCCGGCGGGGGCGGCACGCAGCGCCTCGCACACGCAATCGGCAAGTCGCGCACGATGGAGCTCGTGCTCACGGGCCGCAACTTCTCCGCCAAGGAGGCCGCCGACTGGGGCATGGTCTCGCGCGTCGTGCCCGAGGGCGAGGGCGTCGTCGTCAAAGAGGCGCTCGAGCTTGCCAAGGTCATCGCGAGCAAGAGCGCGATCGCCGTCCAGGCGGGCAAGGAGGCCGTCAACGCCGCGTACGAGAACACGCTCACTGAGGGCTTGCGGTATGAGCGCCGCGTTTTCCATGCGCTGTTCGCGACGCACGACCAGAAGGAGGGTGAGTGTCAATTTGCTTTCCTTTAGCCCACGTCGCTGATGGGGCGTCAGGTATGACTGCCTTTGCCGAGAAGCGGAAGCCGACGTGGACCCACTCCTAGGCGGAGCGGTGGTCGTGAAGCAGCGATATTCACATGTATTATAGGACGGATCTCTGGAAAAACTTGTATATCAACGGAACATTGCATGCGTCTTGCGTATGAAAGAGAGCGATACAGCAAGGTTTACAGTCCCCGCAAGTTGGACGAATTCGCGCGCATCTTCACAACGGGTATCTCGCCCATCGGTCACTATGGCGTACGTTTCAACACTGATGTTGAGGTCTGTCCCGATCGCGTGCTGTGAAAGGCATACTGACTGACTGTATCTTCTACCCATGCATCCCCTACAGGAACACTATCCTTGCGAAACGGGCTTCCCCTAGACTGAGTCTTCACCTACAGCCTTGCCACACAAATACGTCGGCCACGGCAGCTCAGCCAACACGGTTACTCGTCCTCAAGCCTGGCCTCGTCACGGCTCGTGCAATAGGCTTAGAGTTTGAGGGTGCGTTGTAGCACACCCACAATGTCCGCTCGGCTTACCACCGGCAATCGTCGAGTCTTGGTGCATATGCATGCTTGCGTCATGTGTACGCAGGTACGTATGAATAGACATTCCGCACCTTGAAGCGGTCGAAGGTGTGTACGTACCCGCAAACCGGCTTACAACGAGAGGGAAATGACGGGCGACGACGAATCTTCGGGTCGGCTTTTCATATTCCGGTAGCAGATCAAATACACTCTAGCTGAAGATATGCGTATCGAATGAAGTATCGTTGGGGTCTAAAGGCCGGATTACCTCCGACTTCGAACACCCCCTAAAGTTCTTCGGCCTTGATGATGACTTCCTGCTTCAAGACCAAGTTTTCCTCGACGACCTCTTCTTGCTTCATGAACAGCTCCCGCCAAATCATCTCTGCGATGGTCACTTCGTCTTGTTCGACAGCATATTCGTCCTCCCCCTTCACATCCTCTTCCAGCGTCTCCCCGGGAAGAGGTAACTCGGCCTTCGCTAGCTGGACCGAACGTTCCCAAAGCCAGTTCTTGTTGCCGAACCGCCATGCCCATGCCGATTCCTTCCATTCCCTCCAGCATCCGATGAGCAACGACACCTGCCCGCGCGTGATGCCAACGAGTCCCTGTTCTATCAAGGAGCGAGGAACGCCCATTTGAGCGACTAAGCTGGAGACCCATACAATCTGCATGTCCGTAGCCTGGCTGTGGCAATCCCTCCAATACCGGGCATGCTGCGGAGGCTCGTACTGCCGAACGGATGGTGAGTGAGTCACAGGTTTGCCCCAAGTACTCCCAGTGGACTCACAGGGATAGGATTGCGCCCCAGGGAATTCAAGTACTCCCGCGTCGGACGAACGCCATCCTTGAGCATGGCAATCAAAATCGCTGCCTCTGCCTTCGTGACCCTTTGCCGATTCCGCCCTTGGTCTTCGGGCTTTCTCAGGAAATGTAGGTATATCCCTCTTGGCCGAGCTAAATCATACAAATATTTCTTCTGTCGCGTCGTCATGGGCTCTACGAAAATAAGCGATTTGGTAAAGGTACGTAGCGAAGAAGACGGTTAACATACCGCCACCAGTCGCCCAGTCCTCCGGGGAAAGGATGAAAAAGAGCGACATCGTGCAAACGCTTTCTCGTGAACCGGTGTCGAAATACGGAACGAGCGGCCGAGCGGGGCAACGAGTTACGTTTCGACAGGATGTCGTGAATGACAGTTCGAGCCAACGTCAAGGTTGCCGTAGGTGCAGCGGAGGGGGAAGGAAAGCACAAAACCCCTATCTGGAACGGAAGAATTGTGGTCGACGTCTTGTCTCGTCTGTCGCCGTAGTCGGAAACAGGCAGATGAGTGGGTTCTAGAGCGTGGCCCCTATTCCCCTCTACCGACCCGTACACCGATCGTAATGCTCGATCGCCTCCTTTCCAAACTTGCTTACCCGTAATAGTGGTCCGCCGCCGCCGCAATATCGCGGCCGTGCACTACACCTTCAAACGACCTTACGCACCACGATTCCGCGAACACCATTCATCTCGTCACGTACAACAACGGCTTCAGCGCCGCTCTCCACATGCTCCGTACTTCGAACCTAGTCGCCTACTGCTGCCAGTGCTACGCCGGAGCCGGCAGCTCGTCACGGACGCATTGCAACGCGTGTTCAAAGACCATTCTCTTATCCTCGCCCGGACGCGCATACTCCCGCTGGTCTCTCAACCGCCCGATTAACAGCGACGCTTGACCATGCGTGATACCCCGCAATCCGTTGACCTTGACAGCATTGGGGACACCCATGCTATTGACGAGGCAGTCCAGCCAGGCCATTTGCATCTTCGTAGGCGCAGCGTCACAGTTTCTCCAGTACTTCGGATGTGGTGGCGGATTATCCTGTAAAGGTTAAAGATCGCATTGTCAAGTCACCATTCATTATTCGAGATCAGCAGAATCTTCTCACAGGGCTCGGGTCCCTCCCGAGTGAGCTGAGATACCGCGGAGTGGGGCGGACGCCATCCAGGATCCGAGCAATGAGAATCCAAGCCTCTGCCTTGGTGACGTTTTGACCATTACCATCTTCCAGGCGAAGGAAGGGGATGTCAATCTGATTATGGACAGCAGCGTTAGTTAGTGTAACCCTCTGTTTTTGGGTCATCGGCTCTAAAAAGACTTCAGAGTGACACGGAAAATCGAAAAATGAAGGGACGCACCTCCGCCGGTTGCCCACTCCTCAGGTTGCCGCGTTGGATAGCAATCCAAAGTCATGGTGGTTGTATGATCACTGGTAGTTAACTTGAAGGCAGTACTGTTAGCTCGTTGGGAAACGGTAGGGACAGTCACTGTCCGAAGCGGGCCAGACGAGAACTACACGTACCAAGTTAAGTGGGGTGAGTTTCGTTTGTTTCGGGACGGGAAACCCGGCTCTCAGCCTTTATATACCCGTTTGTCACCTACTCTAGGAGTACCCAGAGGCTTCCGTAACTCAACGGTACCGGGAGTACTGAGTCACCTGGAATTTATATCCACCATACACGTACTAGTAGCCTCCCACCGTACTGGCTGTCCCGGGCTTCGCAATGTGCTGCAGCTGCAGCACCGCAGCACTTGCATGCCTCGGCAGTCAGAACCTATGACGACCGTTAAGGGCTCGTGACTCTCATAGAAGGGTACCAACCGCGTTGCATTTGGGAATATCGACCAGGGCGGCCGCCGGCGCGCCACTCACATGTGTAAAGCACTCCACCTCGTTAGCGGTACCGTTGTGGAGGATGTGTCGGGTACCTTAAACATCGAGCGTCAAATAATCTCTGTCAGTAACACTACAGTGTAACCATTGTGCATGTTGTTCGTACTCCAGTTTAGTTGTGCAAAAACTGTCTCGACTAGAACATTAACAATTACAACGTAGCCCCGGAACGCCTGCGGACCGATTTTGCGACCCGGTCACCTTGCATAGCGATACCGATTCTGTCATTACCCAACAATGTGGCTACTGTAGAGCATCAAAATGAAGATAAAGCTCACCTCTGTCTGATTACCGGAGTGTTTTGAGGCCGCGAACGGCTAAGTTGCAAGTTCGTCGACGTCTTGGGCCCGAAGCCGTGCCAGTGGGGAAAAATTTGACCACCGCAGGACTCGAACCTGCAACCTTTTGGTATGTCATCCGTAGCCGTCGGCGATCGAAGCCAAACGCGCTACCATTGCGCCAGGTAGCCATGACTGCTAACCTGCCACTAAGCTCCACCCACATTGGTCTGTTCCGACGTCGTTTCGTCATGACGGACGCTTTCGGTTGGTTCTTTTTCACTCACCTCTGTCATCACTTCAAAGCTGCCCCCACCCAACCTTCAGGTTTGCCCATAACTCGCGGTGAGACTGACGGTTCTGGTGCTTGTGTATCATTTGTACCTACTCGAGTCTCGCGGTTTGAAACTGTAAGTGTCGGTGAGTTCCTCGGGCTCGAACTCCACAGTTCAAATTGTAATGTGAGCCTCCACACAAGTATCTTTCGGCCAAGTTCCAGGTCAAGTTGACGTGTTCTCCAGATGAGTTAGTCTCCGGCTTGATTATCGAGCGATTTACTCGTCCAGTAGTGTACTGAAAGTCCGCATGGTATGAACGGCTCAACAGTGCAAGTCGCTATCTAGCCTCCTCGTTCGGGTCACTCGTGCGATACTATCCCACGACACCCAATGCACCCATTTTGAGTATTCCGGTCACTGTTCTTGCGTCTCTCAATAACTGACCCTCAAAGTGGGTAATATTGTGTGAAAATGTCTTCCCTATATCCCCATGTAATTTTTACGCCATAGAACAAGCTCGTTCAACGCTCGGAATGATTCCGGTTGGAAGACCTCAAATCCGCCATGTAATGCACGCCCTCGTTACGCCTAGTCACATCATTGGGCTCGGGCTCCGCTTCGGCATGCCTCTGCCGAATGCCCATCAGCGCAGGTGTGCATCGTCTGTCGCTCCCCGCTCGCCCAGCGCGCAGCATGTCGCTTATTTCTGCTCCTTTCGCTTGACCGGCCTGACGGACGGAGTTTGAAAGTGTCACTCCCTCAGTCCCACTACGACGCCGGATGGCTCGGGACAATCCCTGTTGACCTAAAATAAAGATCGGACTTCACAGACATAGTGGGAATACGTATACCGAAGCTGATGGCCCCAGCCGAAAACTATTGGACGAGACTTGGGATGAGGATCTAAGTGTCACCAGACGGATTTTTGTGTACATTGACCCCAGAAATCGCATTTTTCCCTCCTAGATGAGCCATTCCACCACTTTTCCCTTTCATACTTGGCATGTTATGCGTGCTACGGATAGTCTATATACACTGTAAGTTTCGTAGTCGTAGGGGAAGGAGGGAGCTCGGAATGGGGGGTGTGCATTGAGTGGCGAAGTGTGCATTGGCTGTCGTGGGATAGTAGTTGACAACCACATACGTTCCCGCATTATCTATTCGACGCTACTCAGTGGTGTCCTCCTTCCCGCTAGTACAGACGTACTCATGTATAGTGACAGCATACATGGAGGCATACTCATCATAACCTTAGCTACTAACTCGCTAGGGATATAACTGGTACCCATCTTATGCACGACCTCACCATTTTCCTTTCCACTCACCATCGGCGCAATCAAGCAGCGCTATAAATGGAGGAGGGAGGCCTCAGGCCAATCAAACGTTTGTCTCCTCTACCGCATTCCGCCCGCCTTTCCGCTCGCGATCATGCCGACGGTCGGGCGGACCGCCACAGTCCGTATGACCAACGACGTTTAATTTCTTCGCCCTGGAATTTCGAGAGCTCGAGTCTTCGTGACTCGATGGTTATCGGTTAACGTGTGGGACACGGTGTTTAAAGACCGTGTCCCATCCGGATCCGTTGTTGGGTGTATAGGCAGTCGACCGTCAACCCGCCGTCCATTGACCCGTCGCACTGCGTCAAGTGTAAGTGTGTTTTCGCCGTGACGTAGACGCCTCCTTGCGCAGCATCTACTATGCTGAATCTAGTTGGTTTCAAGTCGAGAATATCATGGCTCCCTCATCTTTTGTCGATCTCACTCACCACTTCTCCCCTGAGACGATAGCTCGCAAGACGAACCCTTTGAAGGATATCATCCGGATTTCGTTAAGCAACCCCCAACTCATATCGCTAGCCAACGGTTAGTAGTATTGGTTTCTTACTCTGGCATATGGATACACGGACCTTACTGGTTATTTCTCAGGCGATCCCCACCACTCGCTATACCCCATTCGCCGCATAGACTACGAAGTCGCCTCCGTCTCCTCCGAAGATCCCGTAGCGGATCTAAAAAGCCTCGGCGATGCCGCGCCCACCCAAGTGCTCAGCACGTCCCACGACGTCGATTCACAGCGCCTCCTCAAGGCGTCCCTGCAGTACGGCCACGGTGCCGGCCTCGCCGACGCCCTCAGGACGGTCGACAGCATCAACAAGGCATACCACGACGCCCCCAACCATGTCACCACGATGACCCTCGGGAACGCCGATGGGATCACGAAGGTCCTTCGGATGCTCGGCGCGCCCGGGGACTATTTCCTGGCAGACGAGTTCACGTTCTCTCCGATGCCCCTCGCAGCGGAGGCTCACGATGTGAAGTGGGTTCCGGTGCGCATCGACTCGGGGGGCATCGTGCCCGAAGTGCTCGAGCGCATCCTCGCGAGTTGGAACCCCGAGCGCGGCCGTCGTCCGCACGTTCTGTACACAGTACCGTAAGTGGTGAAGCGCTTGCAGTGCGCAATGCAGCGAGTCTCATACCATCTATCAGCTGCGGTCAGAATCCGACCGGTTCAACTCTCAGTCTTGAGAGGCGGAAGAAGATTTACGAGATCGCTCAGCGCTACGACTTGATTATTATCGAAGACGGTGACTAGACTTGGAAAACCCATGGCTTTCTCCTCTGACGTCTATGCCTGAATAGATCCGTACTACTTCCTCCAGTACGACCGAACTCGGTCTGAGCCCGGAGCCTCGAACGACTTCGCGCGCTCATTACTATCCATGGACACCGACGGACGCGTCATCCGCATCGACAGGTCCATTCCCCTCACCTCTCCAACCTCCACCCCAATCTAAACCTCATTCTCCTCCAGCTTCAGCAAAATCATGGCCCCCGGGATGCGCCTCGGCTGGATCACGAGCACGCCCGCCTTCTACGACTACCTCGTCAAATACATCGACCTCTCCACGCAAAACCCGCACGGGTTCGGGCAAATCCTCATCACCTCCCTGCTCGGGCCCTCGGGCTGGCAGCTGTCCGGGTTCGACAAGTGGGTGCGCAGCCTGCGCGCGGACTACCAGCGCCGGCGCGACTTCCTGCTCTCCCTCTTCGCGCGCGAGGTCGCCGCGACGGGGCTCGCGAGCGCGGACGTGCCCGAGGCGGGCATGTTCGTCTGGGTGCGCGTGCACGTCGCGAAGCACCCGCGCTTCCGCTCCGGGCTCGCCGCGCGCGCGGCGGACGGGACGGTCGTGCGCACGAACACGGCCGCGCTCATGGCGGAGCTGTTCGACGCGTGCGTCGCGGGCGGGCTCGTGATCTGCCCCGCGTCGGTGTTCGTCATCCGCGCGGATCCCGCGCACGACGACGTCTCGGATCCGATCGACGATGTGAGCGCGCGCGTGTGCCGAACCCAACCTGACGCCTCTGCTGACGATCGCCTCCAGCGCTCCAACTTTATCCGAACGACGTTCGCCGGCTCGGAAGAGACCATCGCGGCGGGCATCCCCATTCTCGGACGCGTCCTGAAGGAGTTCTTCGCGAGCCCCGCTGCATAAAGCGTATCTGAACGGTGGCACTTTCATCTCCCTCTCGGTTACAGGATCATGCACAGGCTAGTAGCATGCGGACTTGGGGACTTGCGCGTGAGGATTTGCACCGATACATACTATCCATTAGAGTATAGGAATTACAGTTCAACCTGCCCTCAAACTCTCGACGATGGCGTTCACCATGGTGCATACATGTGCGCGCGAGAAATCTCCGCGATTTACAAGCCCAATAAAGCACAACGAATCTACTACTAAGCAACAATAAGTCACGCACAAAGGACCGTGTACGCGTCGCGCGCGAGAGTCTGGGTATCAAACCTAACCTACGGATATACACACAAACCGCGCGAGCTCACCAGATTGCAGGACGGGGCAGACACGAGAGGCGGCGAGAGCAGAGGCTACCTGCGCGACACGGTCACGCTGCGCACGACCTGCTTCCACACGCGTCCAAGCGTGCGTGACCGCTTCCCCGTCCCCTTCGCCGCCTTCGCTCTCGCCTCCGCGTCCGCGTCCGCCGCTGCCCTCACCAGCAAATCCGGCGCGGTCGCCGCGCGCACATGCAACGGCGACGGCGCCCCGCCAAACGGGACATCCGCAACAGACGTCGCCGCAGACGACAGCAACGACGGCGTCGACCCATTCGCGCTCTCCCTCCCCCTCCCCCTCCCCCCCCTCGCCCACTGCGCCAACCCGCCCCCCTCCCTCTCCTTGCCCTTACCCGCATACACCGGCGCCGGCACCGCGAGCACGCCCACCCGCACATCATTAACCCGCACCTCCACGCGTCCCGGGATCGGTAGAGTGAGGGGGAGAACGCCCATCTCGTCCGCCTCCGCCTCCACCCCTGCATCGGTCTCCGTCGCGCCGAGCGACACGTCGCTCGCCGACGGCCCGGGGCTCATCGTCAGGCTCGGGGTGTCGCAGTCCGCGGAGACCCCCGACGCGGCGGACGCGAGCGACGTGCGCGACGACGCGCGCGAGCGGAAGCGGTTCTGGTTCTGGCTCTGGCTCTGGCTCGCGGGGGGCTCCGTACCCGCCCCTACACCCACACCCGCGCGCGTCGGCACCGGCACCGGCAGGGGCAGGGGCGGGGGCGGGGTCCTCGGCTCCAACGCGCCCCTCCCAAGCGACGCCAACGACGCCGTCGAGCGCCTCCGCGCCTCCTTCGCCGACACCGGGAGCACGACGCCCTCCGCCTTCAAGCCGAGCCGCGAGAAGCGGGGCGCCGCGGACTGGGTGAGCCAGTTCTCCTCCGGGCGGCGCGAGGTGGAGGGCGGGCGGGGCGACGCGCGGCGCGGGTCCGGGTCCGCGGCGGCGTGCTTGTGCTTGTGCTTGTGCTGGAGCGCGCTGTTCGCGGAGCGCGCGCTGGGGGTGGGGGAGGTGGGGCGCGGCTGGGGGCTCGTGTACGAGCCGGCGGTGTGTG